CCTCCAGCATTAAATTCGCTGGTACCCATTTATACACCTGGGTGGAGAGAGGCACTGTGAGAGTAAAGTGTTTTGCCCAAGAACACAACGCAATGTCCCCGGCCAGGGCTCGAACCCGGACCGCTCAATCCGGAGTCGAGCGCATTAACCATAAGGCAACAGCGCCTCCACAGTTGTTGGACAAGTAATAACTTCTTTCTTTCTCATTTCTCCACGAGTAGGGGAAGACAAAATTTTTAAAACGTGTACTGGACTTGTGCAAGCTCGAAAGGTCTTAAAATGGAATTCGGTGATCTTCGTAAACTACCCTTTTCTTCGGGTCATCTTCGTATCTACTTCGTTCGATACTCGGTTCTTTCGTCTTGGCTAAACGTCCGCGCTTCAAGCAACTGGTATCTGCTACGGTTAATGAATACTGTACCGGTAGTTTGGTGACAGTGTTATTCTAAAACATAAATTTTAACCCTCTAAATTGCTACATTCGTTTCTGAAGCCATTAAATTGATGTGCAGCTATGGGAGTGTGTGTCGTGTCGAAACAGAGTTTATTTTCAAGCAGACATTTAATCAGAGATAGGGAACTTTCTCGTGTTTCGCCGTCAACTAGAAAATAGCAGAAAAAAGAAGACTTAGCAGTAACATTAATGGAAGATAATTGTTTATTAACACGAATACCAAGACTTAGAAGCTAAAAATTGGAAGGTTACCTTTGTTATTTAGACATTTAAAATGGACTAATATGAATGAAATAAATAATTCACTATTAAGTCAGGTGAAAACTCAGCCCGGAAGGTTTGTTCTTGGTTCAAGTTTACATTGAAAACTACCAGAGCGTTAAATGGGAGGTTGAATTGTTTAATTCAAATGAGTGACAAGATGGTTACAAAGCAGTCTTATTCCCAGTCAGTGTGAAAGGATCAAATTTTGTGTGAGAAAGTTAATGATAAAGTCTTCGACAAAGCGTAGGAAAACTGAGAAATTCGACATGAATGACCCATTTTCCGACGATGTACCCGCAGATAGAGACGAAGAAATGGAGGCGTTTGATATCTCACCAATGGCTCTGTCGTTTGAGGCGGCCGGAATCATTGGAATGTGCTCCACAATTATCATTGGAAACGGTCTTCTGTCCGTGCTTAGTTTCCGAAAACCCAGCCAGTCTTATACGGGGAATATCAGCCTTTTTTATGTGGCTGTGACCGATATGTTTACCGCCATAATTACAATGCCTTTGATGGTTGCTTCACTGTTAGAACTTAAATGGACATATGGCGACGTGCTTTGCAAGGCCACAGGAATTTTAACACTGCTGTTTCTTTGCACGGGGTTGTTGATTCTTTGCTTAGTCTCCCTGCACCGTTGTTGGGTCGTCTTCTGTTCAAATGAGGAGTTAGAATCAATGGCGAGGAAGCAAACTTTCGTGTTTTTAGTCGTGGTGGTTCTGTCTGTAGCCATTGCGTGCCTGGTGTTCCTGATAGACTGGAAAAGATTTCAATCAAACCCAACAAGACTTCTCTGTCGGTTGGCCAACTCGCCGAATTACATTGCATATAGGATGTATTACTGTGTTTTCTCATTGGTAGTGCCTCTGTTGATAATTATTTTGTTGCTGAATCGGAAACCACAATTACAAACTGGAACATAATTGTTGTTTTGATGTTTTTCATCACCTGCTCGTGAGACTTCTTCATGCATTAGTGTGAAAACAAAAACAAATAAAGTGTTACTAAACTTTTTGTTATTCGCCCGTCAAAAATTTAAACGTCAATAAAAGAAAGGCTTCATTTTTTAACTTTATGGTTGACGCTATCGAAAAGTTCCTACGTTTCAGGTTTCGGCAAACTTGTGCCCAGGATCAGTCGAGAGGAAGTACAAGGTACGTTGAACCTCGTCTCCAGGGTCTCTTCTGGCGTTCGAATCCAAAATGGCGGCTTTCTTTGAGCCCAAGATAATCTGGGTGGCGCGATTTCTTTGGCTTTTGAAAACAAATCGGTTTCTTCTTTCTGGGAGCTTGTGACATGTTTGCAACTGTGTTTCTCTAACTTGTAAAGAAAAATATGCACACTAATTGACATGTAAGGCTAGTTTCGAAGACTGGAAATTCAGCACTGATATTTTAGTGTTATTTTTCTCTAATAACGCAGAAAATTCATGGAATTTAGCATTATGCAACAAGACTGTATATCTTTGCCCACGCTATTGTTTACATTTTGCCGCACGACTTTGCGCGGAGAGAATATCACGCTAGATACGAACTGACCCTAACGACTTAAAAAGCTTGTAGCAGTCAGTAATTGGTGAATCTTTTAACTCAGCGGCTTTCGGTGTAATATTCAGAGAGAGAGATTAGTCTCAAAAACTGCAAAATTTGTGGTGGCAAAAGCGCTTATAAGCGTTTACATTCTTTGCGGTAAAATTTTGATAGTTTAATTCCGCGTCTCACAAAAATGTTTAATTCATCGGGTAAACATTTCTTGAGGCAGTCCCAGACACTTGAACCATGAACACTTTAAATTTATCTTGTATCGTTTTAACGACTATAAAGAGGGTTTTTTCATATTAACAAAAGCAATTAGCGTTTTACTCTGTAAAAACGCTAAGCTTGTACATTAATATGCCATGGAAAAGCTTTCATTCTCTGGTCCGCAAAAAATAAAAATTTATAAGAAAAAATGTCAACTGTTTACGGTTCAAGTGTTCTTACTGTAATCGAGCCATTCTCTTTTGATATTTAGAGTTGATATTTTTGTTGCTCGATCAGAGGATAAAACTCGATGAAGTGCATATGCTAATGAAACAAATCTTGCAAACAAAGATTCTCTCATAATTATTCAAACAACTGGTATATCCAATGTGATTCCGGATGCATGTTTACAAAAGCGGATATCTGACTTATTAATAAATAATGTACTGTTTTCAGACTTCGTTTGCCTGAATATTGCTTTCTAATTGTTAAATACAGTTGAATTAAGTTATGATATAATCGACTTGGCTTTAAAACCTAGTTCCGTCTCGTTGCTAAGATACAGACACACCATTTGAGCAAATATAGAGCTCGCGGCACTACAAGGCTCCATTAGTTCTACTTGCCGTGTCATTTCTGATATTTTATTTTAAGTTCCCTTGATGCTTAATGTTTTATTTGTTGTACTTACCTCCCAGAGTGACAGTTTTAAAAGAAAACTAAAAAAAATTGTAACGTTTACCAATGCCTGACAGTGTCATAAATGTTGAACAAATAGGGAGGCAAGAAAGGCGAAGCTTGCTTACAAAAATTGAAAATAAAATTATGTTGTGTGTCTGTGTATATTAAAGCAAAGGTGAGGCTTTTGTCTCGTGTTATTAATTTTAATGCAGATCTTCAAGTAGCTTTCTAGGAACATAAACACATGAAAGCTATTATCTAAAACCTAATAACAACGGAAATTTAAACGAAAACTCTTAAAATTTTCCTTTCTTGCACTAAATGAGAATCATATGTTATTTTCCTGCTGCGCACGTTTTTATCTGTTTAATTTATGTTTTGTGCGTGTAAACATCGTTGGTTTCGATTTGTTCAATTGCATTATCTTGCGTGAGTCCATTTCAGTTGGTTTTTTTCTGTTATCTGCCTTGTAATATTTATAACACACTAATGAATACTGCAATTCAGTCCACATCATATCTCTGGTGCCATAAACCACCAGACTCCCTGAAATGAATTTTTAAACCAGCGGCACTCAAGAGGAAGAGCTTGTTCGGTTGGTGTTAACCAAAGAAGAGGTTTTATCTGTATGTTATATATTAATTTTGATATCTCGTTGTAAAAATATATTGTTTTTAAACGCGTCGTCTATTCTTCCTATTCTTGCAATGTGAACGTTCGCCACCTTTTTAACCTATTTCTTGCCAAGATTTTATTTGAAGTTTGGAAAAGGAAAATCTGATCCTAATTTTAATGGCGAATCTCTTAAAATACTCTAATAAATTATTCATTCAATTTATAATTAACCACAAGGCGTATCGGCATATGTTGCCTGCCAAACTTTGAGAGCGCTATTTAAATGCAAAGAGCGAACAAGCCTGTTGTGCAAAGTACATCAAAATGGAGACTTCTGACAGCACAAAAGTCTTGTGTATTCGACTATTTCTATTTTCAATCTATGTGTTAGCCGGTGCTGCTACTTTCCAAGCTATTGAGCGTCAGGCGCAAGTGAGAGAAATAGAAAGGATTCGAAGCACTAGAAAGGAAATTTTGATGAAATATAACATAACACAGAATGACGAACAGCGCTGGTCGAAAACTTTTCTGTCAACCTCGCTGGGAAACGATGATTTTCTTGAATGGAATTTCGGCAATTCCTTCTTGTTTGCAATGGTGGTTATTACTACAATAGGTAAGACAAACGAAAAGTACTTGATGAGAAAATCTAACCCTTTAAATTGCAAGAATATCTTAAAACTCTCTCTTTTATCGTTAGCTGCTGTCTGTGACTTGAACATTTACCTAACTTTCATAACGTTTCTCGATTACTTTTAAACGATCGAGCATATTTTTGAATTTTGAATAATTGTAGGATTTTCACGTCGTTTTTGGAGACAAATATACCATATTCCATTGAAATACGTCTTGTGAACATAAAAATTAGTTCCTCGCGACTAAGGTCTTGCTCAAATAATCAGTGATATAATATTAAAAGGCCTTCCAGTTTTTGCCATATTTTATATATTTTTCGGGGTTTTTTTTCTCGAAGTCCAATAATAAAATATCTAAGATGCATTTCAGTTTCATTGAAAATTCAGTACAGTTAACAATATATATTTTAACATCCATATCCCAATTTAAAGAAAATTTGCATTTAAGAGAGTAAACAAAACGAAACTATGATGAATTTATTAACTTAAACAACAAGAGAATTTCTCATAATATTGATAATTGTCTCAGTAGCATTTTCGACTCCCGTAGATCAAAGGGGAGGCTATATGCATTACCAATGGTTACAAACACAATTTGTCTTATTTATTCAACCACTGATGCCAATTTTTTTACAAGATTCTTGTTATATTTTTTTATTAATGTTACCCTTGATGATAACTTTACAGCAGAATGTGTTTTTTTCAGATTTTTCTATAGAACAGAGGAGCGGTTTCATTCGCAAAATGAATAAAACACTGATTCACTTTTCGGCAACAAATATAACTTATGAGAATTGATTTAATCACTTTTGCCATCACGTTTGTTGTCTTGTATATCACTCCATGGCATTGCATTGCCATGTTTCATTTTTCTTTTACAAAATTTGTTTTATTTTCCATTGTATTGCGTTGTTCCATTTCGCTTTTACAAAATTTGATTTATTTTTCAAGGCTCGACAGTGTATGTTTTGCAGTGTTAATCATTTCGATCACTAAACATGACAGTTTGTAGTTTGTAGCTGTAGTTTTATTTGTCATTGATTTATTATTCACCTCATGTGTATGATTCGGGATCGGACAATCGCACAGCCATGTAAAACCCTATATTAATAAGCCATTTTCGATGTCGTTACATTCTACCTTGGCTCAGAGGCTAAGGGAAAAGAAACAAAAGTTATTTATCTCTCAACCTCGACATGATTTCTTTTGTTCTATTTCCCGAAGCCTCGGTGCCAAGTTTGAATCTTAATACATTGAAACTGGCCTATGAACCAAACCGAATGTGCCGGAATGGAGGGTGAAAAAACAAACAAGGCTCTTTAAATTTCTCTTATCGACCGTGCAGTTCAACTTAGCTTCTCATGTTGTGTTATGTGATATAGACTACCACCAATGTAGTAATACCACGACCTGGTCTTGATGCAGCACCAAATTCTCAAAACCTACATTATAAGAAATGTCTGGCAATCAGTAAAGAGAATTTATATTTCAAGCTGAAACATTCTGTTAAGATTTTATTTTATTTGTGCGACGGAACAGAGTGAAATCTGTGTAAGACACAAGTTTTCACTCTGAAAGTAAAATGTTAAATGACTTGTTCCTTCATTAGGTTATGGCAATATTGTTCCTAAGACATCTCTTGGCCGTCTGTTTTGCGTGTTCTACGCTTTATTTGGAATTCCTGGGACTTGTTTGACTCTCAAAGCCGTTGGAGACAAGATCGCGGAACTTTTCACAAGACTCATTATAACCTTCGAGAAACGCCTTTTAAAACGACCACGCCCTCAAAAAGTGGAGACGAAGGTAGCAATAACAACAATAGTTATAACTCTGATGTTCTTGTTACCATTGTTGTCGCTAATTGTGAAAGTCAGGCATCCACAGTGGAGTTACATCGAAAGTTTTTATCTTACTTTCATCACATTAAGCACGATCGGTTTTGGTGATTACTTACCTCATTTTGAGAAAGACTTTGATTACATCCTTGTGCTGGTGGCCTTTGTGGGTCTCGCGTTTGTCTCGAGTATTTTCTGCTCAATGAACACTGTGCTTGAGCAGTATGGGGTGAGTGTACGTGTGTTGCGGTCACTGCGCGACAAAAACGCGGACAAGTCTACCGATGGAAAAGCCGTCGCGGATGAAGGTGAGTCTGTGTCAGAAAGCAAAAATAATTTGACGTGTGGCACTAATGGATTACAAGATGCGACTTCTTCGACCAAGAAAACGGAAGATTGGCAAAATAGTCTTAAAGTTATCGGCGAAAACCACGAGCTAGATATGGCACAACTGTCGAATCGAAACAGCTTAATCACAGAAGAGGATGTCAAAGTGGAATATCGAAAGCGCGGAAGCTCAATAAGTCTTGGAATATTCAGCTGTTAATAACGTGTTGAATGCATAGAGCTGTGGTTTAATTAACTACTAGCCGGAGTATTCTATGAACAAACAGTCAGCGAGGCGCAGCTTGATTGACAAAGTACATCATAATCTTCCGATAGAAACGAGGGAGAGAAGTATAATAGCTTTGCTCGCCAAAAAATCAAAAACCATTTCCAAGAGCAATCTTGTGGCATGAGTTACTAGACAACAATGGGTGAACAAATCAGACTTGAGGATTTCCAACTGATGTTTGCTTACAGTGCGTCAGACTGCGATTCAAGAGGCCTGGGTTCCAGCCTGTCTTGGTCCCTGTTTTGTTCTTTGACAAAGCACTTTACCCGTACAGTCAGTACCATTCCCGCCCTAAGTGTTTGTCTGAACGGGACATCTTTACTAAACGGAGCGACGCAAATGACTTTTAAGTCATGTGTTTTATTGGTGTAAACAATTGACCTCATTACACCATATTAGCTCTTCAAAAAATTCGGGACAATTTTTTCAGAAGTTCTTAAAAATTTTCCTCAGTTTCTTAGGATTTCGTAAAATTGCCTTTTGTCGAATTACCGATGCGTTATTTTTTATGGTCGGTTCTTTCAACAATGGCCTAAAATTTTCGGTTTTTGTAAAAAGTGCATTTAAAGACTCAACTTCTTTAGCCTTTTTAAATGTGGATTCCTATGAACATTTAAAGCATGCAAAATGCCTTGTCGACTACGCTATTGCACAGTATATGGATAACATTTAACGATTAACCAGTACAATACAATAGTATGAAAGGACAGCCCGAAATTTCATGTAACAACTTCAGCGAGATTTGACTATAAACTGGATGGAACGCTAGCAGCCAAATAAAACATGTCTCTACTTTACTTGGTTTTATTCTTTCATTATCTGAGGTGATTTTTATCGTGTGAGTGCGAGTGCAATTAAGAGTTCACACTCCGCAGTCTAGGCAAAACTCGTAAATAACCAATAATCCGAAAACGCTTGCAAAGGAAATGTTTTGAGGAACTAATTAACAACTTCAAGCAAGCACTTTTTTATAAGATCTCCTGGGGCCTTTTAGAGTTATCAGTGCATATTTATCATAAGCTTCGAGACATCAAGACTCACGAAAGTTCCACACGTAATTAAATTTGGATCGAAAGCCCTGTTGCATGCCACGTGGTTACGTGGTTTCGCTTCCCAAACGAAGTTGCGAATAAAAGATTATGTTCAGCCCGAAACAGGAGCAACTAGACAATTAGAAGTTATACAGAGCGACGAAGACATGATATAGGGATATCAAGGTATGATTCTTTCCAGCATTGCCATCAAAATATGTTGTGTATGATTATAATAAGGTTTGGGAGATACGTTTGTCTTTTTCATGACCGTGCTGTATCTGTTACTTCACGTGCAGAATCAAGAGAATTTAGAGCTGTTTTGCCGGGATTGTTTTGCATTAAATTAAAGATCGTCGTAGCTAACTGTTTACAAAATGAAAGCTTAGAACGTAAGGTACAACACTGCCTACAATTTTGCGAGCAATCTGGAAACACCAGGCCTATATTTTTAAAGACGCGACTTGTTTTCGTCGATGCATGCTATGACGTCATACCGTTGTCTATTAACGTACATAGTAGTTGACGCGTTGATCTCTTATGAAATTCTCTTTAATTATTGAGTTATGTTTTTATCGTAATTTTTGGGAGAAATTGTTGTTCCTATCCCTTGTGCTCGAACGTTACTCACCTCATCTCCTCTATCTTTTCTGTTCCCTTGTTCTTCCCCTTCCGTCCCCTCCNCCCCCACCTTCGATTGGACATTTCGTACTCCTTATCGCGTACATCTAATTACTGGAAAATGAACCACTTCGGAAAATCTTCGTTGACAATGCCGAAGACATTTCGATTCCTTTAATCCAACTGCAACTGCGGGAGCACTCTGAATGCTGTCAAGGTAGCTTAGCGCCGCCAATTCCTGTCTCTAGCTCCCTCGAAGGAGGCGAGATAGGACCCTGGGAACGAGGTTTACGAACGCACTATCTCAGCTTTTTGTACGTCACAAGATTACTTCGTGTAACTTAGCAAACATCCACGGTGACAACCGCTGACTCACGATGAGTGAGTTAACCGTCGAAAAATTTTGGCATGAGTGGTAAAATCAGTAAAATTTCCGCACTCAGCTACACAAACATAAATATTTGTTTTATACATCTTCCTTTCTACTGGTACGAAAATTGTCATTGAGATACCAGCTAAAGGCAGTGTACAAATCTTGTACTTTCTATTATTTCGTTATCTCCATGTCACCGGTAAACGAAGCGAAATAGTTAACTGAAAGATGTATCACCCTAGATATTGAGCGATTGTCATGATCACAGCCAAATCATTAATTTTCCTTATAATGATTACAGAAACAGTAAGTTGCGTTTTCCGCGATCTGTTGTTTGTTCAGGTATCGATATGTTGCTTAAATTTCATAACACAATGCTGCTCAAATGACGAAAGTGGAGAAATTTCATTTGCCAGGGCGATCGAAGGATTTATTTTTTCATGCGTGCTTTCCGACGAAATACATTTTGAATGTAGATAACAACTAATATCAATTTCAGTTTGAATGTTCAACGTACGTTGCTCTTGCTATTGCGCAAATTCACGAGAAGAATAATCATTCCTCTGGTCTCAATTGAAAAAAAAATCGCCAAAATATTACATGGAGCGAATACAATAAGTAAATGACGATTCTTTTCTGTTTTCCTTATATGCTTTTCCAAAATTCCATTGTTATTTTCTAACTTTTAAAGCCTTCGAAAGGTACAGAAAAGCGTATGTTTTGATACTGCACGGCCTTGATGATATATTTATCACTCTTTTTCGCGATTTTGTTTTTTGATCGTTCGCAATTTGCCCTTAAAAATGACAGTTTGCTTTAGATTGACTGAATCATAGGAACTCTTCGCGGAGTTGAACGCAAATCAAATTATAAGTAATTTTTAATTGACTCAAAATGTAAAATAACGTGTCGTTCCCAAGACAAACAACATGAAAACGAGTATGGCGTACAAATTGGCCAGGACACATTACAAAGTTGGCGGTCATGAAGTAACCTCAAAATGCATTTATGTAACAAATGATTTAACGGCAGTTCAAACAACGACTGCTGCTCTCAAAACCATTTCAAAACGAGTATTCTTACAACTTAACAGACAACAAAAAAGGACATTATCCGAAGGCAATGTTTCATTCATTCCTTTTTCTTGTTTTGTTCAAAGTTAATTTCGCCCGGTGTTCCTGTTATAAATCCTGCTGGCGGTGGAGGCCTCGCTTCCTTTGGCCTCCAGTAGACCCAGATGATGCCATCTTGCGCTGGATAACCAACCGATTCTGCTCTTCTTCGCTGCACTGGTGGAATAACACGTAGCCTTGATAGTATTTCTCGCCCTTGCCTTTCCCATTCCTCCCGCGAAATTAGCGTCTCCGCCGTCTCAGTTGAGGTTTGAACTCGATTCCCACGGCTGACAGCGACACCCATCGCTGTTTCACTTTAAAGGCGATGTGAAGTTAACTTAAATCACTCTTTCAAAAGATTACAGTCAAACTGTCCGACAGGGGTCCGCCAGATAGTTTTCTACTCGCCGCTTTTTCGTCATTGAGGGAAAAAGCTTTATTTTGTGATCTGATGACGTCACTATTTCCATGGCAACATCTTCAATGTCGTTTTATAACACCGACATAATTTCAGCGTATCGCGTAGCTAGGTTTCCACTTCCGCATTCAGTCACGTTTCAATGCATGTGTCTACTCGGTAATTACGATCTGATGACGTCCCTATTTCCATGGCAACATCTTCAATGTCGTTATGCAACACATAATTTCAGCGTATCCCGTAGCCAGGTTTTCACTTCTGCACTCAGTCACATTTCAATGCATGTTTCTACTCGGTGATATTACGCCAGCCAAAAAAAAATAGGCGGGTAGGGGCAGTACGAAATGAAGTAGTTTTCATATTGAAGAACTATTTTTCAATTAATCATAACAATTACAATTTCCTCAAATGTGATTGGTGCATAAAGCGCTGTATTTTGTTCTAATTAATCTGCAAAGTTGTAATCGGACAGTGTAATCGGATAGTTGGCTGTAATCGGACACCTGTAATTGGACAGTTACATGAGCCAATCATTTTAAGTCATCTCCACTAAATCCACCAATCACAGCATTGATTACAGTCACAATAGTAACCAATTCAAGAAATTGATTTTGTAAAATTGCGAAGGTTTAGTCTCCGGTGAATGTTTTGAAAGAAACTTAACAGCCATTTTGCAAGCTATTCTCCATATTTTTAACGATGATATTTAAAAATGACTATCAATATTTAAGCTCTTTTTCAAATGAAACTTTTACTTTTGTGGGAAATTGTAATGGTTATGATTAATTGGTAACAGGACATTGTGTCGTCGAATTCAGTCTGCAATCATACTCGTGATTAACCGAATCGGACTCCCGCTTCGCGGTCGTCCGATTTTGTTAATCACTCTGTGATTACAGACCGAATTGGACTCCACTCAGTCCTATTACCATAATTTGGAAGAACCATTTCATTGATAGAAACAAATAAACAGAAGATGGATACTTACACCCCCTTTTCAACCGATATGGCTTCCTTAACATTTATATTGAAGTTATTCTGTCAAGAAAAGTAAAGGCAAAGGCTTTTAAGTCCAAGCACAGGCAGTACGCAATCTTTTTGACAAGAATGAACGATGAAGGATTTGTCTCCCGTTATCTTCTCTTACGCGAGCATGTCCTGCAAAACACCGAGGCGCTAAAAACTCGTACCTAGGCCTTTTCGCGCTGTGCAAATTTTTTCTGGTTTACATTGTTCACATATAATTTGTCACATTATATGTAAACCAGAAGAAGTTTTGCACAGCGTGGTTTCTATTGAGCACGACTGTTGCTACTCCCTCCTTGGTTGGGATGTTAGTCCATCACAGGTTACTGCCCAGCACTCCGTCAGGTTGTTGCAACAATTTGCCACTACTTATTTATACACCTGGGTGGAGAGAGCACTGTGAGAGTAAAATGTCTTGCCTAAGGACACAGCGCAGTGACCCCGGCCAGGGGCTCGAACCCAGGCCCCTCGATCCGGAGGCTGGCGCGCTCTAGTCATTAGCGACCTTACGCAAAACACGACGGTAACGGCAACGAGAACGTCACCAAACAAGAGGTTTAATGAACAAAACAAAGACTGTGCACGTACATTATAATTCTTGGTACATTTCTTTGCCGTCCTCTACAAAACAGCAACGTGAAATGACCAAATTCTGCATTGTCTTGAGAACTGAACCACAACGCTAATTTTTCGTATTTCTATTTGGAATTGAACGCATTCGTAGCATATTCAGCGGAGGCAAGTTTTGATACACTGGATAGTTCCAAATAAATCCGAAATTCCAAAGTAAAATAGAAACACATTTTTTACTAGGCGTCGTCCTCGCCGTCGCCTTCGTATATGCGTAAGGTCCCTGTTAGGCCACCCGGGCCCCACTCGCCTTTTCGTGATCAACAGTTAAGGGCTTGAAAAGGGGGCCGAAATGTTACCGTTTCCTCTCATTACACTGACGACGAAATCTTGGAAAGTAATTGTGTAAATTTTTGCGATGATGAGAAATGAGTCGGTAGATTGTTCCTTTTGATTTTGTGAAGTGAGCTACTATTTAAATTGCCTTGAGCAGCTCTTTCTATTGATCATGGAACCGCTACTTTGAATGCTATGATGAAGATACTCTGGAACCATGTACGCAGCTGCGAAGACTCGTCTGGGTAGTGCATACATACTCGATCTCGACCCTATTCAGACCGCGATTGATTTGAGCTTACAGGCGAAGGGGTGGGAGCTGCTTCCGACCCCCTCCGGAACTTAAAGTATCCAGAACGTCTAAAAATGTGTTTGAGGCAATTACGTGGTAAATGCGTCATGATATCTAAACAGCCGCCATCTTGGATCCGCCATCTTGGGAGTATCTACTTTCTAAAAATATCACGAAGACCCCAAAAATGACTCAGAAGTAATAAATACCAATTAGACAACGCTAAAAAGTTCTAACGAGGTAAAAAATAATTGCATGAAAGTTACTAAATACTTACTAACCGAGAGTGAGGTCTCAACCGGAGACCTTGCCGTATTGACCGAGAGATTGCGAGGTCAATACGGGAAAGCCCAGGTTTGAGATTTTCCCGTAAAGACCGAACGTTGAGGTGGATAAGCTGTTTATTATATGGCTTTTTGCTTTGCTTTTGCAGGACCGTAATCGGCTCGCGGGACATTACGGGAGAATAATGCCCTAGAATTAGCCAATCAGAGCGCGCGTTATATCGGCTACAAACAAAAGCCATATAATTTGTTAATATAAACAAGAAAATTCCAAATTTGTGAAAACATACCTGTCAAAATACGGTTGCCATGGAAACATTAAGTTTTGAGCACAATGGTATAGTCATATTAAATTGTTTCACGTCAATTGCGAGCGCTATAAATGGTTTCCTTCTTATTGTTTCCTGCTGTTTTTAAAACTTATGGAAAGCTAGCGCTACTGACTTTTTCGCTCAAAAGAAGTTCTGAAAATCCTTTTTTTAATTTCGAAACTTGTTATAGATACGATTAATTAGTAATCGGACCTTGTGTTCTACAATTCAGAGAGTAATCATGCTTATAATTTTTAATCGGCCTCACGCTGCGCGCTCGTCCAATTTTGAAATTACTCACGCGATTGCTCTCTGAATTGTACTCCACTAAATCCAACTGCTATTACAAATTCAGCGCATGTATTTTCCTCTTAGCCCTCGCCCCCTGGCCTTCCGCCCCCTGGTCTGAATAGGGTCAATAGAGTTTTTGTTCCTTTGCAGACTTCCTGACGTTTCAGAGGTACCTGGTTTTGGCATGGGGTAATAGAAAATTCTAGCCCATTGTACTTGTTGTCAATAAATCCGCAATTCTAGACATCACAGTGATGATCTTATGGAGATTTTCATGTTGATAAAGTTTTCTGCTTAGAGATAAAACGCTTTGAAATTTCTGACCGCCTAAGTTATACATAAAACCCGATAAAACAATTTTCGCGCGATATCGAGACGAATTTCCGGTTATATTACACACGAACGTGATACCTAAGGAGTTTGCAACTGTGAAACCTAATGGCATTGAAACCTCTTAACCTTAGTCATTTAATGTATCTTGCAATGAAACAAGTCTATATGACACAGATTAAAAATTTCCGGGAAATGTCATAGGCGCATATCTTTCAATATTGCTTTCTAGCTGTTACTAAATTTATGCTACCACCGATAAAAAGAATTAGACGTTCCGTAATAGAAGTCATTTAGCATAAAATTTTAAGCAAATTTCTCAATATAAAGTCAATCAAACGCGTCTGTTTTGAGTTCTGCAAGAATTTAATTTTACGTTTTTCGTCTAACATTAACGAAGTCAAGCTAATTCAGTCTGGAGCGTTGTGGTTTAGTAGAATGTAACACAATTTATTGAAGACAATATTCTTAATTCAAGCGAAGTTGTTTTGTTTGTTTCGAGCCTAGCTTCTTTGCAAAAGGGCTTCTTTGTCCTGTAGTTTTTGCAAATAGTTGCGAAAAGTCGTGTACTGTATCAAAACGACTTTCAACATTCAGGTTTGTACGTCAACGCAAAACAAGTTTCGATATAAGTTCTCTTGCGCTGCCATGTTTACATCCTAATTTCTAAAGGACGGAAAATGCGACTCCCAAAAATATCACCAATCAATGCTAAGTGCAATTCACAATTTGCTTGTTTGTTCTCCAGCCTGTTATTCTTCAGTGATTAATTTGAAGAGCGTTAAGATGCAATTCGTATCGGCTTCGTACATTTTTTATTGTAATAGTGATCGATCAATATTTTGAATCGCTCTGTGGTTTCAAAGACTTCACGGCTTCGTCATTGCCATACTTTCGTTGTCAACCATTCCTTGCATGCGTCGCTTAACCATCACTTTTGCCATATTGGTGATCTCTTTGCCAGATACCTTTGAAGTGCACAAACATGAAAATTTCTAACCATTTTGTAAAACGTAACAAACCATATCCAATGGCATCATCCGTCTTTTTTGACTTCACTGGCTTGTTTGTCTATTTTCTCCGCATTTGGCCACGAAAACCTCCGAGGCGTCCAGTGAGTCCAAAGTTTATTTTCGTCGATGCGTTCCTCTGACTGTGTCTTTTCGTGTTTGATAAATGCTGCTTTTCTGCGACAGGTTGGCGATGAAATATTTATAAGTGGTAGAACCTTTTTCAGTTTCATTCTTCCCTTCTTGCTGGGTGATTCGTCCCTCGAACAACTCGTTTCGTTCGTCTTGTTGCTTTGAAACGTTCTACTCGGTGCAGAGCCCATTGTTTGTTTAGCAGCGTCTAAAAGCTCAAATTAACAACGCATCGAGACATCGATCGGCGAAGTTGTTTTTTTTCAATGTTGTTTACGAAAACCCTCTGCCAGACGAATAAATTGCAGAATATATGCATGTTTCTAGATTATCTTGCGTTACTTTAGCAGCACTTTCAGCGGTGTCTTGGCAATTTACCCTTTGCAATGAATAAATATATCTATTTTTCCGCAAGAATTCATTAACTTCTTCAGCACGGAAAAACTAGATAACACGTTTTCGACGCGTCGGTGAAAGTTAAATATCAAACCTTTCTCTGTACGTCACAAATAATTATAAGTTTCAATTTCAAACGGTCAGCGTCGAAGCCCTCTTAGTACATTTTAGCGCTGGTGTTTAATTCTTTATGAGTTCCAATTGAGTTAGCAGGTGAAAAGTGACAAAATGCTGTTATAAAACTCCACTTGGCAGGCATACACGACTTAACAAGCAAGTGATCGAACAACATCATCTCTTTATAGCATTTCCCATTAAAATATCAATGTATCTGAAAGACGGCAGGTGATGGGAAAAAAAAAAAAGAAAATTATTACACTTAAAATATTTTTTGTCCTTGACATAACACCAATTACCAAGAACAGGTACCTAAATTTATAACTTGTCGAGTTACAGAAGAAGCAATACAATTAACATGTGCGATCTGTAAACTTTCAGGGGTCATAATTGAAACGAAGTATAAAACCGCACTTGTTCAATGCACCTGGCCTGTTTCGCACTAGCGACATAACGACATAATCGCTTTATACCAGCAATGCGAACATGGACTTTAAGGCATAAAGAAAAGATCAGTTTTTTTCCTTATATCGTTGTCATGCCGTTTCGTCATTGTCAGGATGTTCACACTGCAAAGATAACGACATAAGGTCCTTCTTATGTCGTTATGTTTATGTTATGCCGCTAGTGTAATTAAAATAGGCCTCAGGCTTAGTTCACGCTAACAACATAACGACCTAATGGCTTATGTCGGTGATGTGAACATCGACACAAAGACTTGAGGAAATTTTTCCTTATGTTGTTATGTTCAGGTGCTGTTATGTTGCTATTATGTCATGACGTCAGGATGTCCACAGAGCAAACATAACGTCCCTTTCATGTTTATGTCGTTATGTGATGTCGCTAGTGTGAACTAGGCCTAACTTATCAACGTTGAAAGAACTGAATTAAACGATAGAGCCTGAATTTTAGCATGTTGTAAGCATCTTTTATTCCTGGTAAGTGCAAGACAGTCGTAAACCAGATCTTCAAAAGTCATTTTAATAATAGCAGTTTCAGAGAATTCAAAGTTAACTAAAAAATATTCTTCACTTCGAATAACGCTAAGATTACTTCAACGCCACCTCTCGCGATAAAGGTACAAATTAGACAAACGTTTTGGCCATTCGTGGTTTGCCTTTAAAGTATATGAGGCCTAATTTCTCTTAAGGTAGTTCCCCTGAATTAAAACGGTCAATAGATTTTTGTTCAAACTTTGTCCACTGCATATTTATCATATGAGAACTTAAATTAAAAATAAAAAAAAGGGGGGCGCAGGAGTGCACATGCTCGTTGAGGAGCAGTGAGGCATTGAAACTGTCCCATTTTAGCATTATTTAATGCTTATCACAAGAACGCATTCCAAGTTATTGTAAACTCTTTGTGAGCCCAGACTCATGAAAACACGTCTCAAACTACAGTTAGTGCTTGTGTCGGACACAAATAAACTTTTTAAGCTTGATTTTGACAGACAGCTGAATCCTTGTTAAAATATTGGAACCAAATTGCTTGCCACGGCTATCAAACTGCAAAATAGGAAAGTCTACAGTGCAGCTGCTATTTTCCTTATTTAATCAAGTTTCAACAATAGAAATCAGATCAGTCTTTTCGCACTCAAAGCTAACGATTAGTTGATTAAGATGACTGGAAAAAAATTTGGGGTGACCGAGCTCGTTAGTGAGCTATAGCCATTTTTCAACTGACAGAACTCAATATCAAGGCAAATCTGCCATGTTTTCAATGTGCGCGTGCACGAGCGCGCTCTAGTGACGCCATAAATTATTCGCAGTAAGGATGCGCAATGCAAATGTGAGGAATCACCTTAAACCTAGCTCCAGTTATAGTCTACGATCAAATGATGAACTCCTCTTAAAACCTATGGGTCTTGGAGATAGGGCTTTTATGGCCGTAGCAGCAAACCTCCGGAAGAAAACTCCTCAACAACTTAAACAGATGGACTCACTTAAAATAATTAATTAGTTAATTAATGAATATTAATTTGCGATGTATTTTATTTTACTTCTTCTATTTACTATTTATTACTTTCTATCATTTTGTGAGACGCATTTGAAACCTTACGTTAGATATTTCTTCAAATAACCATACAAACAAATAAAAACATTCCAATCTTGAAAGTACAGTCAATAACCACCTTCTGTAGAGAGAGATTAACTGTTTGCACAAATATTTAGCGTATTTCAAGACTCCAAATCTGATGAGTCCACGGTTGCCATCTTGCAGGTCGCTAGGCAACGTGATGTAGTCTCCGATAAGCTCACGTGACAATATCCCAAGTGCTTTGATTACTCTGGGTATTCAGGGAATTTATTAATGCAACAATTTTTTCCCCGAGTGAAGCACGAACTTTCCCGAGCGAATCACTAACGTTTCCGATTGAATAACGATGACAAGCTAAAAGAGCTCAGAAACTGGGAGGGAACTTAATATACATTGCTTCTTCATGAAGCCAATAAAATTAGTAAGCAAAATAATAATTAGGCTTTTTAAATACTCTATTCTTAAATAACTATCATATGAATCTATTAAGCTATGAAATAGCTATCGTTTCTATTTTTCGTCATAATGAAAGCACCACCATCTACCAGTATCAAGATGCTGAGAGAAATCCCATATTGTTGCGGCCTAGAAAACAGCTTCTAGATCTGAAGGTTCCTTTTTTCACTTAAGACATACCTATATCCTTTTGAGAACAGCTGCCACATACGGCTTACCTACTAAGTCGCTAAACAAAACTAAGCCTTAAACTTAGTCACTTCTATTTAATTTTAAAACTTTTTGGAATGGTCTGAAAATGCTCCTTTAAAATGTCACTAAAATTGAAGCATCTTTGTACGAAAACTCCAGCCAAATGCAACTTTCATATTAAAGCGTTTTCGATAAACTTCTTAATTTTTTTACTTCTAAGCGCCGCTTAAGTTTACATGAGGCGACATTCAGGTTCACATGTTTGGTGACCTTTACGGTCATCCTCCGGATTGTCGTCTTTTAAGATGGAGGTCGGATGTCCATCTGCTGACGATTGCGTTCCACTGCTAATGTTGTCCCGTGAAGTACCTACGGGGTTGTCTCCATGGTGATTACCTGGAAACGACGCTTCACCGTTACAAGCAGTTCTCATTGATTGGTTAACATTTGACACTGCACCGGCAGGAAGGTTGCTATCCAGAATCGCATCATCTCTGGACTGTTGAGCCTTTCTGTGAGAAGACTCCTTGCTGCAAGAAGGAGAGGGAGCACACGTCAATGAAATGCTGGAGCCACATGTGGGGCTAGCCAAGGGAGGTCTAATATAGGGGCCAGCATCGGTAACATTAGAGGCAACATTGATACTTGGTGCCACAGTTGACTTTGGCTTCTCTGGAGTTTTGACCAGCAAAGAAGTTCCTGAGCTGTCTGCTAGGGAAACTCGAGGTAGTGCAACATCCCTGTTACCAGATAATTTCAGCTGTGATTCTGGTGCCCCACACCGTGGATCCAAACCGAACATGTCGTTGGATGGGGAACAATTCACCTCATGTAACAATCGATCTTGTGCCGCCTTCGGCACTGAACGAGTTATTGGGCTGGTATTTCTAGGACTTCCACTTCTTAGATTTCTCTGCCACGTTTGCTTTGATGCTTCATCGGGCTTGAACGACGTGGCCCCTAATAACGCCTTCCCAGAATTACTGGTAGTACTGCTGTCTTCAGCAGCCTCAACAGCATCAAAAGGTGCAATAACTTCTTGCACAGTGCCATCTCTCACAGATTTAACGGTTCCAATTGCCGCGTTGTCCACAGTTCCAATATCGTTAGCAGGTCCAATGTCTGTAACTCTTCCATCAGTGGAGGATCCGCCAGGTCCACTACCTTCAGTTCTGGGTTGGTTACTCATGTGAGAACTGTTTATTTGTCCATCTGCTTTTAGGGCAGGTTTTTGTTCAGGTACTGAAAAGGGCAGTGAAGCAGTCGACTTCTCCTCAACTGGGCTAGTTGATGAAACATTCAATTTATCCGTCGAGCATTCCTCCTGAACCGGACTGGATAATGATTGCAGGTTCGATTTATTTGTGGGCTGTTCTTCTTGAACTGGGCGGCGAGCTGACTCACTTAATTTATCTGCCGGAAATTCTTCTTGAACTGGGCGGCGAGCTGACTCACTTGATTTATCTGCCGGAAATTCCTCTTGAACTGGACGGCGAGCTGACTCACTTAATTTATCTGCCTGTGACTGTTCTTGAACTGGAAGGCGAGCTGACTCATTCAGCTTATCCGATGAAGATGCTTCTTGACACGGACCGGGCAATAACTCCGTACTTGGATTTTCTGTAGGATATCCTGAGCTAGTATCATTATTCTCTTGGGGTCCTGGAAAGAATGGACCATCTCTGCTACCAGCAGTACCTGGAGTTCTGAAAGAAATATATAGATTTAGCCAAGCCTAAAAGCGGAGCTCCTGAAGTAAGTTAACAATAAAGTCAACAACGCACCAGAGGTTAATTCGCGTCAAAAATTTCGCCTTTGTACGTACTTGAGCCCACGATCCAATCAAAAACCAGTACCCCGACAACGGTCAACTACAATAAAACAGGCGACCTGGTGCGCTAAGCCCGCGATATGGTCACGTGATACTGGTCAGCAGATACGTTGTTTTGATAGCTGTCACTTAACCATAACATGGATGTCCAATAACGAAGATGTACGCTGTAAACCAAGACTGCACGACTCGGTCGACCTATTAGCTGGAGTACATCGCCGCGACGTCGCGCAACACAGCCTTGGAAGTTATGGAGGTTAAATCCCCGGGGGACTCCAACATAACGAAATGGTTAAAAAAGCGGTTTTCGTAACTCTTAGGGTATTGAGCCGAAGAAATATGACAGAAGATATTGTACATATAACTTTACAAGTGGAAGGTATTCGATGCAATCGTCTTTATCGCTATTCAAGTGCTAGTTTATGTCTTCTTTTAGAATTGGTATCCCGTAGGGATGAGAAAAAAAAGAAAAGAAAAATTCCAGGCCCACAAAACAGGATCTTGGCACCTCTTACGTGTTATTTTCAAAATTTTTGTCCTATTTGTACGAGAGTAGAAACATCCTTGTTAACAGTTCTCACTATTCCTTACCCGGGTGTTCCTGGGGCCACATTGATCACGGGACGGACACCCACACATGCGTTACCGCCAGTCACGGTCACGTCAAAATTACTCTCGTCAGGTGGCCCAGACTGTAGAGGTACATTATTTCTAAGGATAAAAGATACGAGAGCCTTAAGTCTTCCAACCATCAATCGTGCATGTTCTATTACTCGTCATTTCTCGAGGGAAATCCTCAGCTACAGCATCAACCAACCTCTGCTGTTAAGTTTCAAATTGAAATTAAAACTAAAATTCAATCAATGAATTGGACTCCCTGCTTATTTTTTTTCGTTAAAAAAGCACGCTCTGGGTTTGTTTTTAGAAGACCTTGGAATGTCACTTTAAATGAGAGGCACCTCTTTAGAGAATCTTCAAGATACAATACCCAGTAAAAGTACGTAACGACGAAGTCAGCAGACCCAGACAGCACTCAAGTGAGGAAGAGACGGTGGTAGTGGATTGCTCATCGGTTACGAATAGAGAAAGAAAAGATGGGTACCAGATACAGAAAGAGAGGATGAACGCACAGTGGAGGAAGAACTTCACGAGTATGGAGTAACATCTAAGCCTCCTCTATTGCGCACGACAGAGATCGATGGGGAGAGAGTACAACCTTGCACTTAGAGTCTTCGTTCGCTGTGACCAGCGGTCGGCGGCAAACGAGCGACCCTGGAAAGATCCCATTTGAAGCCCGAAAATATCTGACTTCCGGTTGAATTGCACATGCCTAGCTACCAAACATGTGGCTCAATGAAGACGCTGATGTTCTACTTCTGCTAATTTCCAATCAAAATTGAGCCTGTAACGGAACTGTAAGAGTCGCTCGTTCTGTCGAACTTGCACAGCAATCAATCAATCAATCAATCAATCAATCAATCAATCAATCAGTCAATCCGTCAGTCAGTCAGTCAGTCAGTCAGTCAGTCAGTCAGTCAGTCAGTCAATCAATCAATCAATCAATAACGGACGAAGACTTAAGGAACGAGATTGGGGAGAGTCAATCTCCCGCCCTATTCCTCACTCGAGGAAAAGGAACTAATGATGATGATAACAATGATGATGATGATGACCACGACGACGACGACGACTATGATGATGACGATAATAAGAGGCAGCTTAACTACGACGAACTAGCTTCGCATCTTGGGAGAGCCATAAATACTCTCAGTCACCTCATGCCACAGGGTAAGGCGAGGCGGCCTCGTGGTTAGTGTGCTCTGGATCAAGTGTTTGAATCCCGGCACGGGTCACTGCGTTCTGTTCTTAGAGAAAGACGCTTCACTTTCACAGTGCCTCTCTCTTTCCAGAGGGGTACAATGGGATTACTACGCATTTCGGACAAAAGAGAATAGAGTCATTGCCTACAAAATTATACCAGAAGCCTTCTATTTTTTTCTCCCGTTAATTGGCGCAGTTGTTATTTAAACCCCATTGCAGCTTCAAAATTTAAGTAACAAAGATAAAACAAAATTAAATCGGGTAATTAGTAGTCAAATAATGACACAGTGCAAATCTGCTTTCACCGCTGCAGGGTAACTCTGTGATGGACTAGCATTCCATCCGGCAGTGAGTAGAAGTACTCCTAGACGCTGTGCGCTGCAGAACAACCTACGGGCCGCTTGGCTCATAAAACAGACTTTTACCGTGGTAACCTTACTTCATGTTACAGACAATGAACTGTAGCTCCACTTACACAGCAGTTAGATCTTGTGCATTTACCACGTGAGAACCAGGTCCCACAGCAACAGTTCCACCACTGATGTTTGTGTTAATTTGCTGGTTAAAGATTACTTGGTTTGCATTGACTTGAAGTGGCACAACTGAAAGATGGATCAACATTTGTGTCTGATAAATAACAAAATGCAAACTAGCTAAACAATGCTTTTGAATGATATATTATGGTAATGAACTGAGAGGAGTGCATTTTGGTCTGAAATCATACGCGTGATTTTGAAATTGAGCGAGTGCGCAGCGCTAATTTTTCTGAAAAAAAAAAAAAACAGTTTTTACACCATTTTTTAAAAAAAAAAATCCGCCACACAATGAGCTACAATGGCTTTTTTTGTCTTTCATTTTCTTGCAAGTTGATTGGTAGCCAATACAACTAATTGGCTAATTCTAGGGCATTATTCTCACGTAATGTCTACGGGCCAATTATGGGCCCGCAAAAACAAAGCAAAAAGTAATTAAAAGAAAAAAGCTTTTTTCTGAAAACTGTTAGCAGCAGGTGAAAAACGACGAGGGAAGACGAACACTCTGGGATGTCTGGAAAACCCGAATAGCGAATAGCAAATAGTCGCGAATAGCGAACAGCGAACAGTTCCGAATAGTCCCGAATAGCGAATAGCGAATAGTCCGAATAGTGTGAATAGTCTCGAATAGTGGCGAACAGTCTCGAATAGTGGCAAATAGTGGCAAATCATAACAAATAGGGTACTCAGTATCTCGCAGTCAACTTCGCAGTAACGTAGTATGAAAACAATGTAGAATGTTAAACAATGTTGTTCTATTTATTATAAATTATTTTAAAACCAATGAAACACCAAACCATTTCGCTTTTGCTGCAAAAGGCGTCATTTGTTATGTAACCATAGCAACTTAGCATGTTATTTTCACTTTTAAAGATATCAAGTTTTTGCACGAAAGTGCAGCTGGTATTTCACTAATCTTTATAGAATAAACTGTAGAACATATTCGGGTTCCACTGACATTAGAGTCATCTCAAGCTCAGTACAAAAATCCATCACACACATGTGCATGCATTGCAGACCTATTTTATAATACTCACTTTTTTGGGAAGGGTGCAGTAGGACTAATTCTTGCCTTCCAGCATTGATGGCAGCTGTAAGTTAAAGTTAAAAACTTCATCAAAAAGAAAACACTTCATTTAGAGATTTAACTGAAAAGAAGGTCATTAATTTTACATCCAGTAAATAAACTTAATTCTAAACACAACACACATTATGCATTTCATTTGGTTACTTTAATTTGCTAATGTATTGTATTTATTCCCATTGGGATAATCAGGCTTTATAAACCACTTGTCGTGAATATCACACCAATTGACACCAACCAGTTCACTTGAGACTATTGTCCTTATTGCAATTATCATTGTGTAAGATAGCATCTTAATTTTCACGCATATTCTCTGGCTCGTTACTGTTTGATTTACTCTTCACTGCTTCTTTGTATGTTGTAGAAACCCGTATATGGTGTGTTTCAGTTTCGTGAAAATAAACTTGATTGTTGGCGGCTCCCTCCACATATTGCAGCTAAGTATAATTTGCGTCCTTCATTTAATATATTTAAACAGAAATTTTTTTCTATTCAGCTGAGCAAAGTGAAAGAGGAAAGAGAGATTGTCAAATATAGTTATTACTGCTAACATTATACACTGAAGAATGGTGTGCTATGGTGTGCCTCCCTAAATGTTAGAGGTTAACGTTATCATCCGAAATTAAATGTAATAAATTATTATGCGTTAAATTCTTTTCGTGAGAGGCAGTCCTCTGTAGTCAGTTGGAGGTGAAAGTATATGTAGCAAACCCAATTAAGTGTTAGCCCTCTTCACATTTACTGGGAGTTTAATCCTTGAAAGGAAGGAACATTGCACGACAGACAGAAATGAATGAACACTTTTTTTATACAGAGACCAGAAAGAAACAAATTTGCAAACAATGAAGAAACTTCCTTATAAGTCCTACTTTTTGTTTTGTCTTCAAATTCTCACCTTGCCAGATTCTTTGTACTGTAAAGATGTTGAAAGAATTCACCAAAGGAAATTGAAAAAACTGACTACTAAAGTTACATAAACAGTGACAAACTCCTATGTTTGGGTATAGAGCAATAATAAATGTCAGAATAATATTGTTAACATCCTTGGAAGTTTTTCATTCAGCAATTTGCACAGAATTTTGTCCTGTGGCTTAGGTTGGAGTAGTCACACTGTACTAGGTTTCACTGAATTTAATAGTAAAATAATATTAATAATAATAATGATGATGACAATGATAATGATGATAATGATAATAATAATGATAATGATAATGATAATGATAATGATAATGATAATGATAATGATAATGATAATGATAATGATAATGATAATAATAATAATAATAATAAAAACTTTCAAGAGTGAACACCAACACACTTGACACCCTAAAAGATTACCCTATGGAGCTGTGGTAACCGTACAGCATAGCATAATTGACCAGCATAATTGATCAGATCTATACCATTCAATGCAAACCAGGAAATCACTTACAACTATCTGACTCCACAGAGCAAAATCTTCCAAGTGAAGATTTTGAAGTAACTGACTTTGCCTTCCCCAGGAGGAACTGAAATGAATTTTACAATGGGAGTCAATTTAGCTATTGTAGGTCAATTCATTGCATCATTCATGCTTGCATTGTTTAATTGGTTGACAGATCCCAATATTACTTCCTACAATGCTATCAATAATAAATATAGTAATAAAAATACCTTAATTGACCACTCCCCCCATGGGGCTTTTCAGGGTCAATGGAAACAAATGATGAAACAATTAATGCAAATAAACATAACATGGTTTAAAATCCCAACTGGCAGGAGGTAGACCAGTTGGCTTGTTACAAACATGGCTGAGGAGTTGAACTATGGTCTACCGAGAAACAACTCCAGCTTAGCAGTCAGAGCGGGACTTGAACCCACAACCTCCAGATTTCAAGTCTGTCGCCCTAACCACTCAGCCACACTGCCTCCATGCTGCCTGCGTTACTGACAAAGTAGACAGAACTTTTTGTGGTAGATCTGCCATACTAAAAATAGGGCATGTGTATCACAAAAACATAGGGTTTCTATGGGAATTTAAGGGATTTTAATGGGAAAAAAAAAACTTATAACAAAATAACTTTAATTGAACTACAGTCAAACCCCCATTAAGTGGCCCACTTTTAAGCGGTCACCCCCTGTTAAGTGGCCATGTAACACAGTTCCGAAATTATTGTCAGTAAAACACTGTAAATATAACCCCTAATATATAGATTTAGGCCAGCCTAAAAGCGTAGCTCCTGGGCTGGGTTGTTCAGAGCCCGATTAAGCTAACCCAGAAAAAGGTAGAATTTTTATTTGAGTTTTGTAACTTTGCATTGAGGTTTTCTGTATATTGTTTAGCCTTCTGTTTTGAGTTTTAATAATCACTATATACACAAAACAAAGCAGTAAAAAACATTTTTAGAGAAGAAAAAGTCATAATTTGGTTAACTTTTAATCCTAGGTTAGCGTTAACCGGCTTCCGAACAATCCTGCCCTGTTTTCAACAAGTTAACCTAACATGAACCCGTGATCCAATCGAAAAACAGCACTTGATCAGAGGTCAACTTCAAAAAACATGTGACTTCAATGACCTGTAAACTTGGGCCTACAATATGGTCACATGATACTGGTCAGCGGATACCTTGTTTTGACAGGTGTCAAATGATCATAAAATGGATGTCCAATATCAAAGAAGTACGTGGTAAACCAAGGCAGCATGTCTCTGTCAACCTATTATTTGGAGTATGGCCGCCATGTTGCGCAACTCCATCGTCACCGTCGTGTGTACACGCCCATGAGCAATACCGCTAGCCATGATAACCATGAGAAAATCAACTCAAGGGTTTCCTTTTCTTTCCTATATGAGAATGGGGCTCCACTTGGCGGCGTTTTGGGCCGCCAGAGCTCCGCTATTAACCAGCCACTTCTATTAAGTGGCAACAGCCACCTACTTACCCCTGTTAAGTGGCCAAGAGAATTTTGTACACTGTAGGTCCTCCTAAATTTCAATGCATTCTTCAATCTTTTGGAAAATGACCAGTCCGTGATTATATATGTGATGTTAGTGATACTGTTCTGCAACATGCTGATAGATACACTATTGCTAATTTCCTGTAAAAGTTTTGAGTCTCCAAATTCACACTAATTTGTTTCAAAATCACTGGCAAAAATTAGGTATTCTCCCCTGAAACATATTTATTTATTAATGATGATCAGTAAAGATCACTTGATTATAAAATCAGTTTATGATCCATGACTACCAGCAAAGAAAGTCAGAGGTTATTATGGAGTAAATTATTTAAGCTCAAAATCCATGAAATTCCAGTACAAATTCTTTATTGTGCAATATGTTTGCCCCATTTTCAGTATCACAACTTATCAAACATGTTTAAAAGAAGTATTAAAGATCAGAGTTCCAATTCTAATAAAACAAACTGACCTCTTTCACTTTTTGAGGATTTTTCAGTAATTTGATGATTTCTTCATTGCCATGTTCTCTAGCCAAATCAGTCACAGTTTGGCCTTGCTGCGGTGAGAATAAAATTAATGAAACATGATCATTAATAATACAACAAGGTTCTGTTACACAAAACACACACATGTACATGTACTTTGTTATGAAAGGAATGTCTCCATATCCATCAAGACATCATGGTGCATATTTGCCTCCAACATCAGTACTTAACAGTCAGAAAGTGGTAACAAAGAAATTAAGGTATCACTTAGCTAACATTTTTTTTTTTTTTTAACACACTTTTAGTAATAGTTTATGTCAATGTTAAGAAACAGTTTTTAACCGGAAATGTGAAGCCATTGGCCCTAAACGGAAGTGTGTTACACGTGACGTAGGCTAGTACATCCGGGGTAATCGTACACAAGGGAAAAACCTTCAAGAACAGAGAAAAGGGAATGTATGAGTTGTTCAGCAATGAAATACAATGCTTTGAAGTGCTACATGTTTATTGTGGTGTTATATGGGACCGGGGTAACATCAACACGTCAAATTAAATGCAAGTCTATATTTATCAGTTAATTTATAGGAAAATAACAGAGTACAGTGAAACCTGTTCTATTAATTAAGTGGACACCAGCTTTAGATGGCTCAAAACAGTAATATTTCTGTGAGATGCCTGGGCTCTAGTGCGCACTTCAACGTGAGGCATCACGTGATGACCTTGAGGGGTCACAAGGCCTACTTTGAAAAACTTTGTTTCAGCCAACTTTATTAAGCTGTTTGCATTATCAGTTATTTTTACCTTCAAAAACATCCATCCTTCTGGCAATTTAAAGGGAAAAACATTATTTTAAACAGCTGTGCTGGAACATAAACAAAAATTGTGATGTTGATGTTGCAATCTATCGTGCCAGCTATCAATCGCAAAAACAGCAGGAAAACAACTACTCTTCAGGTTTTCTTTGTTCTTTCTACTTGTCTAGTCTTGCCTTCGGGTACATGTATTTATGGTACTCTCCTTCTACCACTTATGCTGCAAACAACAACAGCGAAAAAGAAAACACTATTCGCATTTATTTGCATGGAGATCACAGACTTTACTGATCAGCGGACCACCTTCATGCATGCGCAAGGGGCGATCTTGCAAAGTCGAGATTTTAATTTGCGTGTAGAATGCACATGAAAAATACCTTATCCACGAAACGAAGCTAATATCGCAAAAAACTGATGTGGTGACTTTACCTTTTAAATGCAAAAAGATTATTCAACAGCAAGAGCAGAATGCATGTGCAAAATTGTAAAAGCAAAAAAAACAACAACTGTGGAGTGGAATCTCTCCTACTTTGAAATTTCCATTTTTGTTTAATTGAAGAAAAATCTAATCCACAGAAGTTTTAAAATTTTGCCTGTTTTGTCTTCTGTGTGTAATAAAAAGATTTTTGCAAAAAAATATGGGGTCACCAGCTTAGTTTTAAAGATAGATGCAACTGAGATAGATGCAATTGATGGTAAAAGGGGGCCAGGTTTGTTGCTATGCAGCAGGACAGTGCAACCTTAATTTATGACTTAAACACAATGAAAGTAACAGTGGAGAGTTACCTTAAAACAATAGCACAGCCATTCAAAACAGAACAGTTCCAAGCCTGAAAAATTGCACCTACATGTAGTTCTAAAAGTCCCAAAAAACAGAAAACTGTTTTGAGCCACCTTAAGTCCCAAAATTTTCTTCCCACATTTACTGTAAAATAAACCTACATTCAGCGGACACCAATTTTAAGCCATTTTGTTGCACAAAACCTGCAATAAGCAGACACTTTAAGTGCTCATTTTACTTCTAAAGGTTCAGCTGAGCCTCCTTAACATTGTTTAGTGATATTGTTTTAAAGCTAAGTGATTGACTGGACATTCTACCATTAGCAGTCTTAGCTAGTCTGATCTTACACTGTGTTACAAAAGGGTTAATAATTAACTAATATATAGATTTAGGCCAGCCTAAAAGTGTAGCTCCTGGGCCAGGTTGTTCAGAGCCAAATAACCCAGGAAAAGGTAGAATTTTGATTTGAGTTTTGTAACTTTGCGGTCAGGTTTTCTGTATATTGTTTTGCCTTCTGTTTTGAGTTTTAATAATCACTATATACACAAAACAAAGCAGCAAGAAACATTTGTATAGAAGAAAAAGTTATTATTCGGTTAACTTTCAATCCTGTCCTGTTTTCAACAAGTTAACCTGAGATGAGCCCGCAATCCAATAGAAAACCAGCACTTGGTCAGCGGTCAACTTCAAAAAACACGCGACGAGCTGTAAACTTGAGCCTGCGATATGGTCACGTGATACTGGTCAGCAGATACCTTATTTTGACAGGTGTCAGTTGATCATAACATGGATGTCCAATATCAAAGAGGTACACAGTAAACCAAGGCTGCATGTCTCTGTCAACCTATTATTTGGAGTATGGCCGCCATGTTTCGCGACTCTGTCGCCGCTGTCGTCGCTGCCGTCATGCGTATGCGCCCACGAGCAATACCACTAGCCATGATAACCATGAGAAAATCAACTCATGGGTTTCCTTTTCTTTCCTATATGAGTATGGGGCTCTGCTTGGTGGCCCTTTGGGCTGCCCGGAGCTCCACTATTATTGCACAATATACTAGAACCTGTTTTGAGTGGACACCCTGTATTAAGGGGACACTAGTGAGGATCCCAGGGGTGTCCGCTTAATACAGGTTTCACTGTATACATCCAGGTACAGATAATACATGACATCACCCAAGTCCCAAACAATCTACATTTGTAATTATGTAGAATTTCAGTTTTAAATTAAAGTATCAGAAGTTGAGAATTTTGCCATACCTCATTTTTCACCTCCATTGTAGAAGCTGCACCGGCATTTAACAACAGTGCAACACAAGTTGGATTTTTACTTGTAACAGCCAAGTGAAGAGGTGTGTCCTTATCCTGTAACAATATTATAGAAGCATTTACTCCCTACATGTTTTATAGAAATTGGAATTATCATAAAATGATGGTCTTACTTTTTGCTTTTCATTCTTTTATAACATAAAGTCTCAAATGTTTAGTATGGACTTCTATCATAGGCAATGGTAACATGTATTGTCTCTCTCTCATGTACCACATCTTCAGGTTTCCTTAACAGGTCTGGTGGTTGAATGTTGGAGAATTGAAATATAAAGTTCAAATATAAGATATTTCATATGTTCACATCAATGTAAGAGAGTGTAATGCAAATCTTAAGGTAGGCACAGCTGTCTTGATCTGAAGTCTAATATAACTGTAACTACCAAGCAACCATGCCTACAACATACAACATTACATGTATAACAGTATTAGAGAAAATACCTTATTTTGTTTTCCAATGATACCTGTGTTATTGTTACCAAGTGTTTTCAGTAACAACTCCAACACATCTTTGTGTCCTTTTTTAGCAGCAACATGCAGAGTTGTGTTATCTGTCTACAAAAAAAAGTGGCTATGAGCTACTCAACTTAGAAGATGGATCGTTGGTAAACAGTCACAATTTTGATGCCATTGAACTTAGTGTTTAATTCATAGGTCCTAAACCATTTAATATATATCAAGCTAGAGAGTTTAGGCACATTGACATTGTTAAGAAATACCGGTAGTGCAAAATACAAGTTACAGTAAGAGAAAACAAAAGAAGATGTGACACCATCTTCAGTTAGGCATTTATGACTTGTTAGAGAAAGGGCGCAAACAACTCAGGAAAAGGTTGTTATTGTTATTCATCGTGGTAGATGCAATAATAAAGTGTATTATCGTTTGTCTCACGATGTAGTCACTTGAGATGTAGATCATGATATTTCAACTGCTTACTGCTAGTCTTCTTCAGGCGATAAGGTCGACTGATTGCACGGTATCATTTATGTCATAAAGGCCGGCTGTGATTGGTGCATTTCGATCCTCCTATTGTTCCACTGTTCCGGCGAGTAGCTGTTCCCTCAGTGGTCTGCTGTTGTACCGTTCTCCTGTTGTT